TAATTTGTTCTTAATTTTGCACCTAGAACCTTTTTCTTTCAGATATAGTTCCTTTACAGTAAAAAAAAATTACTATAAATAAACTTGGTATATTCCTGTTGCTTATTATCCATATAGATCTCTGACCCTAGTTAACTTGTAGTGGAACGTCTAATAGTGGCACTTTGCCATACACAGTAGTCTGTAGACTTTTGTTTTTATTTTGCTGTCCTTGAGGCTGTAATAAATATTCCAGTAGTTTTTTTTGCTTAACCAGTCTTTAAAATGATTCACTTCTTAATGTGAAATTTGTCAGATGTTTTGCAGACTGAACATTTAAAACAGTTCTTTTGAATTATATTGTTACAGACTGACACATCAGTCTCAAAACTGTAAATCCCTGCAGTTGCAACTTGTTAGTGGGTGAAAGGTGTGACGTGAACTGTCTCCACTGTATTTGTTATGGACCTGTTCAGGTTTGGTTTTGACCTTAAAGTTGTCTTGAAGTCACGTGACTGTAGTTACCTGTGAAAACCTCTTTGTACCACAGAGCCATGTGCAAACATTTTTTTGTAAAGTCATTTTTCTTCTTTTCAGAAATAATCTACCTTTTCTTTTCAAGCAGAATCTCTTGGGTTCATATCTGTACACAATATTTGTTACTGATGGAATGATTTGTAAGTGTTGTGAATTGTATTACACATAAGGTGTGACTTGGCTTGTATTTACTGTACATCAATCACTGCAGATCAAAACATGTTAGTCTCATCTAAATAAATCATTTCTATTTCACTTATTGCTTCACAGTTTTAAAAGTAATTAAATTGACAAATAAACCATATGTGATATTTGAGTTTAAAAAGAGATCTTTTAAATTTCTTTGGCTGCACTGCTGTATTTCAAAATGTCACCACACACTAAAATTAAATACTATATCTTAATATCAGTTACAATTTGTAAAAGTTTACCAACGTTATTTTATCTGTGACATTTTTTAAGCTGCCTAAATACTTCGATAACTTTCTGTTTTTTATTTATCTTTAAAATGGGATAATATCAATCACCTAAAGTAGTTCTCTTAATATACTTTATTTAACTCTTACTACTCTAGTAACAGTTGGTATTTTTGTCTGTTCTGAATGCAGTTCAAGAATAGTACTTCTCCCAGTTTCCTAAAGCTGGCCATAGTGGTAACGCTAGCAGTAACATGTTAAAC